ATGTTTTCCTTTGACATCATGGTTGTAGTCTCAGTTTATGCCATGGTAGTCATGTTTTTCATTGACGTCTTGGTTGTAGTCTCAGTTTATGCCATGGTAGTCATGTTTTTCTTTGACATCATGGTTGTAGTCTCAGTTTATGCCATGGTAGTTATGTTTTCCTTTGACGTCTTTGTTGTAGTCTCAGTGACATTTTGGTTTTTTTGGCTGCTCTCTTATGTGTCTCCACTGTGGATCTTTGGCCTCCGGCTCATCATCCATCCGTCCATTAACATTCTCTCCTGTTCTTCTTCTATCAGCTACATATTCAAATCATTTGTCCAACACAYCGACTATCCCTCTCTACATGTCTCCAGAACTGAGCCGTCCCTTTGTCCTCACTCTACAAGTCATTATGTTGTCAGAGTTTGTTCAGAGTTTAACTCGCTCACTTTTTGATTCTTAAAGTCGGACGTTCCTGTTCTGTTTTCCTGTAAACTTTTCTCATGATATCATCCAGGAATGAAAGAGTCAGATGTGAGTCAAAGTGAAAACAGGCAGAGCAGAACCGGAACAGAACCGGTCTCGCACAGAGAGAAGGTGGAATCATGTTGTTACTGTGTGGTTCCTCACAGCGACACCCTTTAACCCCACCGGAGTGATGTCATATCGTCTCCACCCAGCCGTGCGTCATCGTGACGCCAAACAACACAAACCGAGACACAACAACCGGTTTCTGTTCACAGGCGGAGACACAGTGAAGATAGGCGGGACGCCTGGGACAGTTTGGACCAAAAACCATGTGAAGAACAAGGAGAGCTGTGATTTAAAAGTCGAGTTTCTGAATAAAATCTTAAAAGTTCCTCCTGATGAGTGAATTTAACAAGGATTATTTGGTTCAGAGAAAATAATAAAGATGTTTTTCACGTGTTCAACTCTGAACACATGGAGTTAATTTCAATTCACATCTTCATTAAACTCTTGCAATTGGATTCTTTATAAAATAGATTTTTGCTTGTTTGTTTAATATAAAACTTATATTTAACTGGACATTTAAAMTAAAGTAAAAATTGTTCTTTGTTCTTCAAGGCAGAATCAGTTTTCCCTTAGCAGGCASCAGCAATGCATGCTGGGATGTCATCAAGTCCAACTGCAGCCTGAGGAAACACTTTGACCTCCTGTGACCCCCCTGAGGGGCAGAGCTTCAGAACCAGGACATGTCCACCTGGATCTGGATCAGACTCAGGTGTTCTGGATTCACCTGAGGAAGGTCAAGGTCACAAACCCTGGCCCCCAGAAAACACATCCGACAGAAAATGATAAAGTAACGAATAAACAGTTAAAGTTCAGTCAATAAATGAAATGTATTCAAATGTTGACCATACTGACGTTTTTAAAGCTTGTTTTCAATAATCTAATGTTGAGTAAAAAACTAATTTTATTCTGATTGTGATAATATAAATTTTGATATTTGGTTATAAACTATTAAATTTTGATAAAATTGTTTCTGCCAGGTAAGAAAATAGTGCCTAAAATTATATGAAATATAAATACATTTTATTTTAAATATTTATTAAAGATGAAGTCAAAGTTAAAAGAGATTTTATTGAAGTTTGAGAAGCTTTTTTGTTCGTTTTTCAAGCTGTTAAAAAATTAAAAACAGTTCTTTGCTGCCACCTGCTGGAGACAAACAGAAGGCTGATCTAAACTACAGAGAATTACACATAAAYCACTTAAAGATCTCTGATCATTTCAAACTTGTGTCAGATGGTTGTCATATGATACAACACATACCTGCAGGAAAAGGAGGATAAAAACTTCATCCTCCATATGAGGGGAATGTAGTCAGAACTGTGGCTCAGCTGGAGGAGGACCTCGTGGAGAAGAAGATGATCAAGAATGTGTTTGAGGCTGACAACCCAGAGAGATTTACTCTGCAAATTTCTGTTTTAGGGACTCGGATTTTACTTTCAGGCAGATTTTACTTTCAGGTTCAGGTTAAAGGAAAAACTGACTGTGTTAGGAGTGGTCAAAAAGTTCATCAACAGGAAGGAAGTTATCACATGGAATCCTCAAAATGGTTTCTGTACTGTTTGGTTATTGAATGAGTACTTTGCTCTTGCTGATCCTGAAGTCCATCTCAGTCTTGGTCCTGGTCCTGAGAAGGTGGGGGTGTTTGTGGATTATCAGGAGGGTCTGGTCTCCTTTTATGATGTTGATGGTGCAGATCTGATTTGCTCCTTTACTGGTGTTTCCTGCCCCTATTCCCCTAAACATTTGTGTCCGATGCCATCCCCTCCATCACCCAAAAAAAAAAATTTTCCCAATACATTGTTGCTTGATGCCGTTTCCCCCACACCTGAGACATTTTTATCCGACACTCTTTTTCCTGACACCCTACCATTTGATGCCGTTTTTCCCCAAGACATTTTTTTTCGTTACTGTTTTTCTCGAAACCCCATACTCCAATGCTGTTTTTTCAGAGACCTTCTTGTCCGATGCTTATGTTGATGAGACCTTTTCGGCCTATGCCCTTTATCCCTGAGACTTTATTGCCAATGTCGTTTTTTCCTCAGACCTTATCGTTCAGTGATATTTTTCCATAGACCTTTTGTTCAGTGCTTTTTCTTGAAAACTTTTTGGGGATACCCTTTATCTCCAGATCTTATTGTTTGATGATGTTTTTCTTATGACAATTTCATCCGATGCTAACATTGAGGTTCTAACTACCTATTGTGCAGTGCTGATTTTTCTGAGACCTTTTCATTTGATGTTTTATCTTAAGATCTTTGAGTGGAACATTAATAATTATAATAATCCATTAGTCTTATATAGCGCTTTTTGAGGCTCTCAAAGACGCTTTACAATTTTTATGGCTCATTCATTCACACACTGACCTACACCCACAGAGTCCAACAGCTCCATATGTATGTTCATTACCTCCACCCAAACTGGTCTCTGTGGACCATTTCTATACAGCAGGTAAAATAAGTATTGAAC